TAAAGATACAACCTGGTTTATCCTTGCTGCTTATAGTAAAATGCAAGATGAAAGAGATAAATTGAAAAAAGTGTTATACAAAAAAGAACCAGAACTTGAAGATCTGGAAAATTCTTACCCTGTCTATATCGTAAAAGATGAGAAAGCATGTTCTGGAGAGAACATCAAGGATGTAGCTAGACATTTACTTCATAAATAAATTCCCTGATAGATCAACCAAAGGACTTGTATGCATGCATATAAACATAATCAATGGACACAGACACCAGGGGTTGAGGGCATGAGCGGGAGGAAGGGGGTAATGGGGGGATAAGGACACATATGTAATACCTTAATAAAGAAAGAAAAAAAAGTAAAAAAAAAAATTCCCAATGGATTTAATCAACCATTTCAGCTGAAGTAAGGAATTGATATAAGATTATACCAGCAAAAATATTGCCAGTTGGTGAGGATGTGGAGAAAAAGAAACCCTCATGCGCTGCTGTTGGGAATACAGACTGGTGCAGCCACTGTGGAAACCAGTATGGAGTTTCCTCAAAAAATTAAAAATGGAACTCCCATTTGACCCAGTAATCCCACTTCTAGGAATATAGCCCAAGAAATCAGAAACACCAACCAGAAAGGATATATGCACCCTTATGTTCATAGCAGCACAATTTACAATAGCTAAGATTTGGAAACAGCCTAAGTGCCCATCAGCAGATGAGTGGATTATAAACCTGTGGTACATCTACACAATGGAATTCTATGCTGCTGTAAAAAAGAAAGAACTCTTACCACCTGCAACAGCATGGATGGGCCTGGAGAGCATTATGCTAAGTGAAATAAGCCAGTTGGAGATAGATAAATATCATATGATCTCACTCATTTGTGGAATATAATAAACTACATAAACTGATGAACAAAAATAGATCCAGAGGCATAGAAGAATCAAACAGACTGACCAACCTCAGAGGGAAGGGGGGAGGGGGGAGGTTAAGAGGTCGACCAAAGGACTTATATGCATGCATATAAGCATAACCCATAGACACAGACAGTAGCAGGGTGAGGGCATGTGCTGGGAGGTGGGAACGGTGGAGGAAAGGTCAACGGAGGAAAAAGAAGACAAATGTAATACTTTAAACAATAAAGATGTTTTTTAAAAAAAGAATTCACTGAAACCAGAAAAAATATATATATTGCCAGCTGGGACTAATGGGAACTGAGAAAATGGGACAGAATGAATAAAGCTATTGGACTTCTGCTGTTCTGCAGCATGAGACAATAGAGCTACTGACTTTAATTAACATGTGCTATATTTCAAGAAAAGGGAAGAATGACCCAAGGATGATTCAGAGATCATCAGGATTGCCACTCCAACCCACAGGCCAAGGGAGCAAGGCAATTTCCTCCTTGGTTTCGGAAAGTGGGGCAATCTTCTTGGCTTCAGTGGGCCAATCTTCTTGGTTTCAGTGGGCCAGAATACAACTGCCCAGTGCCTCAGGGGCAAGGCATCCCCACAATCCACAGGACAGAGCCACCATGTAGGACCATGCGGGTGACACTGTCATTCAAGTTGGCCCAAGCATCAAGCCAAAGAAGATTATTCTCCAACCTTAAGATACAATGATATTTGTCTTTCTCTGTCTGGCTTATTTCACTTAGCATAACAATCTCTAGGTCCATCCGTGCTGTCGGAAATGGTAAGATTTCATTATTTTTTTAGGGCCAAGTATACAATTCTATTCTATACATGAACCCCAACTTTTTTATCCACTTGTCTATTGATGGGCATATGGATTGCTTTTACACCTTGGCTATTGTAAACAATGCTGTAATGAACATAGTGGTGCATATATGATATCACTTATATGTGTGGACTCTAAACAAAACACTGGAGAGGGGGGCAGTGAAATAGGTAAAGGGATGAAGAAATACAAATGGAAAAAAAGCAGAAATACAAATGGGAAGTTATAACATAGTCCCGTGGATGTAAAGTACAGCAAAGGAAATATAGTCAACAATTTTGTAATAACTATGTATGGTGCCAGGTGGGTACTTGAAATACCAAGGGGAACGCTTTGTAAAGTATATGATTGTCTAACCACTATGCTATACACATAAAGCTAATACAAAATAATGTTTAATGTAAACTGTAATGAAAAATAAAATTTTAAAAAGGTACAATGGCCCTTTTTCTTGCTCGGTTTTGAACTTGCTTGAAACACATTTATCCTCTCTTCTTTCTGATTTCTCCATTTTGGAAAGGGAATGTCTATGCTATGGCTGTCCCACTGAATTCTGGAAGCACATAACTCATCTGGTTTTATAGGTTCACAATTGGAGAGGAATCTTGTCTCGGGATGAATCATACTTTGAGTCTTACCTATACCTGATTTAGATAACACTCAAATGAGACTTTGGACTTTGAGTTGATACTGGATGCGTTAAAACGTTGGGGCCTGTTGGGACAGAGTGAATATATTTCTTATGCAAGAAGGATATGAATTTGGGGTAGAATGTTATGGACTAAATTGTGTTCCCCAAAAATTCATATGTTGAAGCCCTAATCTCCAATGTAGTCGGGACTTTAAGAAGATAATTAATATTAAATAAGGTCAAATGGTGAAATCCTAATCCAATAGAACTAGTGTTTTTATAAGAAGAGGAGACACCAGACTAAATATATATCTACACTAATAAAAGAGAAAAATGGTAATTGGCGTACGGCGATACCGTTTTCATTGGCTAATCAGGGCTATATGCAAATTAACTGCCAACTAAGATTGGCAGTTAACTGTCAACAAGATGGCGGCTAATTTGCATATGTAGGCACAATGCAGGGAGGCGAAAGGGAAAGCAGGAAGAAGCCCCCTGCCACTGACAGTGATCGGAAACCCAGGGGGGAGCTAAGAGCTGGGGGGCAGGGCAAAGGCGGCCCTGGGGCTGCCTTTGCCCTGCCCCCCAGCCATGATCAGAGAATCAGGCGCCTTTGCCGCCCTGGCCAGTGATAGCAGGAAGTAGGGGTGGAGCCAGCCATGGGAGCTGGGCACGGTCAAAGCTGGCAGTCCCAGGAGCTAGGGGTCCCTTGCCTGGGCCTAAAGCAAAGCCCACAATCGCGGCGCCCCCCGCTGCCACTGCAGGTCCCCGCTGCCTCGGCTGGACGCCTAGGCCAGAGGCATTAGGCCTGGGCAGGGGCGGAGCCTGCAACCGCGGGGAGCTGGGGGTCCCCTGCCCAGGCCTGACACCTCTGCCGGAGGCCTCAGGCCTGGTCAAGGGGCCGATCCGGTGATTGGTGATCGGAGGGTGATGAGGGTCAACTCCTCTGGCCGAGGCATCAGGCCTGGGTGGGGGGCGGAGCCGGGGATTGGGGGGATATGATGGTCCCCTTGCCGAGGCCTGAAGCCTGGGTCAGAGGCATCAGGCTTGGGCGGGGGGTGGAGCAAGTGATCAGAGGGAGATGGGGGTCCCCTGCCCAGGCATGATTCCTGGGCCAGAGGCCTCAGGCCTGGGCAGGGACCAGAACCAGTGATCGAGGGGAGATGGGGGTCCCCTGTCCAAGCCTGACACCTCTGGTGGAGGCGTCAGGCCTGGGCAAGGGGCCGATCAGGCGATCGGAGGGTGATGGGGGTCTACGCCTCTGGCCAAGGCATCAGGCCTGGGCAAGGGGCAGAGCCAGCAATCGGAGGGGTCTGGGGGTCCCCTGCCCAGGCCTGACGCCTGGGCCAGAGGCATCAGGCCTGGGCTGGGGGCAGAACCAGTGATGGGGGAAATGAGGGTCCCCTGCCCAGGCCTGACGCCTCTGTCAGAGGCGTCAGGCCTGGGCAAGGGGCCAATCCTGCGATTGGAGGGTGATGGGGGTCAACGCCTGAGGGCTCCCAGTATGTGAGAGGGGGCAGGCTGGGCTGAGGGACACTCCCCCCCCCCACCCAGTGCACGAATTTCGTGCACCGGGCCCCTAGTATATATATATATAATCAGTTTCTCTCTCTCTCTCCTCTCTCTCTCTCTCTCTCTCTCTCTCTCTCTCTCTCTCTCTCTCTTTCTAAAGTTCTATCTCTATATGCACAGAGAAGGTGGCCATCTGTAAACCAGAGAGAGAGGCCTCAACAGAAACTAACACTGCTAGTGACCTTAGACTCCCAGGCTCTAGAACTGCAAAAAAAATAAATGACTGTTGTTTAAACCAACCAGTTTGTAATACAGGTTTTTCCCACTATCCAAAAGTAAAGTGTTGTTATGAAATCTTTTGTAAACTGAAATGGTATAAACTGAAGAAGCAATTATTATTAATTTATTAATTTATGTAGAAAAATTTTCCCGTATTTCCAGACCGCCCCATCCCCCACAAAATAACCTCTCGTAGGTTCTTCTAATACCTTAGCATGCATCTTGCTTTAAAACTAGGTGGTGGGTAGAGGCTAGAAGAGTTTTGAGGTGCATGCTAGAAAAAGTGTACGTTGCCTTGAAGGGGTTGTTGGTAGAAATATGGGGCCAGGTAGGTACTTGAAATATCGGGAAGTACATGATTGTCTCACCACTATGTTGTACACCTGAAACTAATAGAGAATAATATTGAATGTAAACTGTACTTGAAAATTAAAAAAAAAACACACATTTAAGACTATTTTCTTGTCTGGCCAGTGTAGCTCAGTGGTTGAGTGTAGACTCATGGTTCAATTCCCAGTCAGAGCACACCACCAGCCTGGTGTTGCAGGCTTGATCCCCAGTAGGAGGCAGCCAATGTATAATTCTCTATCATCATTGATGTTTTTATCTCCCTCTCCCTTCCTCTCTGAAATCAATAAAAACATTTTTTAAAAGAGTATTTTCTTATACAACTATATTAAAGATATTCATATATGAATTTCATATCCTATATATTTATATACCTAAAGCTTGAAATGATCATGAGACTCAGCCTGTTGGTGCGATATACTTGTGAATCTTTTCAGAAATATTGATTGGGGATATTTACACAGTATAGTCAACAACTAAATTATAGACACATTAATTTTTACCTTCCATGGTCAAATTTTCTTTCATACATTCCAATGCTGTGTGATTAACTTCTTTTATAGCCTTTTTTTCTTTAAGAAGCTGAGAATACTTTTGAAAAAAAACTGAAACAGACAATAAAATCATTCATTTTCCTGATAGTGTTATGAATTTGCTTATTATTATTACTTTCTTAAATGCTTTATAGAAACAACATCTACCAATGCCCAGTTACTTGAGTAGAAAGATCCTGACTATGGGAAAGATTTCCTATTACCCATATTCAATCTATGATAATAAAAGCTTAGGTGGTCCTCATGCCCTCGTGCAACACCCTCACATCATCACAAGATGGCTGCTACAAGATGGCTGCCACCCTTGCAATGGTTATCAGTAATATCCCAGGGTTCCTTCTTAGTTTTCTTTCTCTTTGACCTCCTGCAATACTTGACCCTAGGTCTCTCCCCACTTTCAGCCAGGACCAATGAGCCCAGTCCAGACTGCCAAATCACAAAATCATGAGCTAAATAAGTAGCTGTTGTTTTCATCCACTACGTTTTAGATTGGTTTATTAAGCAGCCAAAGATAATTGATACAATCATCTTCAGGGGGAAAATTCACCCTCTTTAGGATTGTACACAACACTCTTCATGATCTGAGCCCCACTTCTTTCTTCAACCTACAACTTCATTTCTCACAGTTCACTTAGCACCATATGTTTCAATCATTTATTCTTAGGTTTCCTCACATTTCCCCATGTTCTCTCACATCTCTATGCCACCTCCTTCAGGAAGTCTATCTCAGCCTCCATTGCTTTTATCTGTACAACACTACCATACAATGTTGTAACCACTGGTTCATGTGACCAGTTACTATCACTTTCTGAACTTCAATGACTATGGCTTGGACTTTGGCACACTGTCTGACATAAAGCAGATGACCATCATTGCTTATTGAATGACCAGATGAATGAATAAAATATCTACCCAGATATATACTGGTTTTTATTCCTCTTATCAATTTGATAAATTCTTAAAGCCTAAGATATGCAGAAATCTATCTGTTTGCCAAGTTGCCTTTTAGAGCTCATGTCTTGGATAGGACAGAAATAATTAGGGTAAAAATTCAATGGGAAACTCTTCCTGAATATTTCTTCCCATATCCTTGTTCACCCGCTCGTCTCAAAATATGTGTGTGTGCACTCAAAAAGTCCTGGCCTTAGAAACACAAAGGAAATCTAAATCTGTCCTCATACAACTGTCTAGTGTGAAGATGGTACCCTATTTCATTCTATAACACAAACACACAGACACACATATACTCTTAAATTTCTATAGAGTCTATAGAGTGAATTCCATTATTTTTATAGAAAAGTGACTCAATTCAAATTTAAAAGCAGCATTTGTAATGGATTCCCACTAATTATACCATCCCTCAGAGAACACGTTTTACCAGATTTCTGAATAAACCCCTTGTTAAATATAAAAATCTAATGGATACCCTCTGTTTGTGTAAGGCAGACATTCATTATAGTTTCATTGGGATACTTACTGATAAAAGCGATAAAAAATGAGATTGCCAATAATAGCAGAAGTATCAGCAATGAGGGTAAGAGTGCCTTGGGAAAACCAGGGTTACTTTTGTGAAGGCTGGTCTTCTCTTTGGGAGCTAAAGAAGAAATTAAATTAGTTTTATCAATAGTAAATTTTGCCCGGCCGGGTGTGGCTCAGCGGTTCAGCGTTGACCCAGGAACCAGGAGGTCGCCAGTTCGATTCCTGGTCAGAGCATATGCCCAGGTTGTGGGTTCGATCCCCAGTGGGAGGCATGCAGGAGGCAGCCAATCAATGATTCTCTCTCATCATTGATGTTTCTATCTCTCTTTCCCTCTCCCTTCCTCTGTGGCATCAATAAAAATATATATATATAAAAAATAGTAAATTTTGATCATTAGTTACTCTTTCTCCTTCTCTTCTTCTTCTCCCTTTTCTTGGGTGGCATACTATTACTAACAATATGACATTGGAAATAATATAAAAATGGAAAGGAAATATGTTCATTGCATAAACTTTGGAAAATACATTAAAAGCACAAATCCCTACTATTGAGGACAACTAATGTTAATGTTTTGGTATATATTCTTCCAGCAATTTTTAGAGTGTTTATATATACATGCACATTTACCCAGATGATTGACACACCATATATACTAGTTTCTGATCTATTATTCTCTTATATGCTATTTAATAAACATTTTTATTCCATATTTTCTTCTACTCCACTCTCTATTGTGGCTGCATAGTATTTCATTATATATTTAAGTGATCTTCCAGACTATTTCCATTTTTATTGAATTTTTTGAAGTTATAGTGGTTAATAAAATTATATAGGTTTCAAGCATACAATTCTATAATATATCATCTTTGTATTGTATTGTGTGTTCATCACCCAAAGTCTAGTCTCTTTTCATCACCATTTATCACCTCTTTACCCTCTTATACCTGCCTCCACCCCACCATACTGTTTTTATATCTATGAGGTTTATTTGTTTTGTTTTGTTTTGTTTTTGCTTAATCTCATCACTTATTTCACCCAGGCTCTTAAGCCCCCTCCCCTCTGACAACTGTCAGTCTGTTCTCTGTATCTATGAGTCTGTTTCATTTTGTTTCCAATTTTAACTACTTTAAATAATGCCATAGCAGATACATCTTTATAATCATCCCTTATCACATTCATAGGATAAGGTCAGTCCATTTTAGTCACTATTTCATGGTTAAAAATTATTTTTCCCAAGTAATTATATATTGCCAAGTATATTGTGATCTCATTTTTAGAAAAAAATGCATATATACATTTATGTGTATATATATATATGTATATATATATATTATATATATATATATATACACACACATCTGGGAGGGTATACACTAAAAATGTAAGTTATAGTTATTACTAGGTGGTAAGAACAAAATTTAAATTTTTATGTATCTCTAATTTTTTTCTACAATGAACATTTTAACATATAGTAAAGAAGTTTCATACATGTTAAGAGTTAGAACAGCTTTCTGAGTTTTCTCCATCTCTCCACAGAAGAGTTTTAGAATACCTAAGCAATCATGACTGCCCTCTCACAGCTGCTTAGACTCTACACACGTTTTTCTTCTCTTTTGCCCTATATCTGAGACATCACAGGTGCCACTCAAGTTACATTTTATCTACTTCAAAACTAAGGTGAGTCCATCTCAGAGATTCAGAATGCAATGGATTTTCTCATTACAGAGCAATTTCCCTTGAGATATAAGGGACTTTCTTTATACAACTTTCTAGTCTTTTATCTGCAATGATCTTTTGTTCCCCTTTAGTCCAGTATTAACCAGGTTTTGTTAATGCACCTACAGCACTCTTCCCCCACACTCCTCTCCTCTAACTGGTCAAGAAACAACGTTCATCACTCTACAAGGGCTATGGATAATTTAGTGGGCTTTGTCATTTCTGACTGCAGTCTTACTGAGCCTTACAGGAGGCCAGCTTTCTCCCATAATTACCATTCTCCTGAGCTCAGGACTATAGCGGACTTCTCACATCTCAGTTTTGTTACAGTACAAATGTGCAGTCCTTAATACTTATCTTCAGGCAACATAATCTTCTGAGAATTCTATATTTCCAAACTGTGGTCAATCAGAAAACCAGCATCTATTATCACCTATGCTTTGTTTATAGTATTCTCTCTTCATTCTTCATCTCATCATTAATTCTGACCACCAGAAAATGTTTCTTACCTGCAGGAGGATCTGATTTGGTGCCTAAAGACGTAGATTCATTTTTGAAGCTCACTTCAGCATAAGTGATCTCTGAAGTCATATTGAGGTTGTCTGCTCTCTTCAAAAAATCCTTAGTATCTCTTCCTTAAAACATCTTAAAATGAAAATTAAACATGATGGTAACTTGTCGTACTTCCTATCATGCAACTACCAGTAGATGAGAACAGCGGCTACAGATATGCAAATTTCCCTGAGAGGAATCTCAAGAGAACTTAAAACCTCAAGGCAGAGACTCATTCTCCAGCACAGTGGAAATTATAGTCTTTAAACACATGCTAGCAAAAGTAATAAAAGTAGGATCTCAAAAAGTCGAAGAAAGAAATAGGAGGGACAAGAAAAGAGGAACTAAACAATTAGAGAAATTTTTCATGAGAACTGTGTACTCTGAACTCACCAGCAAGAATAAAATTCAAGTATTTGTGCGCATCCACATGCAAACATAATTATTTGTAGACCAACGAATCTTGGCATATACTCACTTAGCCTGCATTTTCCTCACCTTTTGTGGCTTATTAGGCAACTTTTAGGGGCCACATTCTAAGAGGATCATTGACAAAAATTTACATCAACTTCCCGCTTTCAACAGTCAGCATCTTCTAATGTATTGGGGAAGTGAAACTGTAGACTGTATGGCTTCTGAATCTTCTCCTCAGTGCTGTCTGCTTTTTCTTGTTCTTAACTAACTCCATCATGAATCTCCATTTATTTTGCCACAGTCACATCCAGCAACTTCTGAAAGCAGCTCTCTTTTTTGGATGTTAAAGGAGTAGGCCACCCTTCTCTAGTTCATCCTTCTCTATCACTTTAATACCCACAACAGCACAACAAAAGACTATATAGGTATATACAACTACCTTTTAACAGTTAGGATAATTTAATGAAATCACAATTTAGAAGGAGATGAACTTAGTGTTAAATATGATTTTTTCCAAAGGCCAAGATAAAAACTCTCCAAAAATTAAATCCTCTGTGTGAAATCTTTCCACAGACCAGCTCCCAGCTCACACCTAATTCAGCTTCCCCCAAATAATCCTCCTTTGAATCCCCTCCCACTTACTAACTCATCCCACCCCTATAAAACACACACACACACACACACACACACACACACACACACACACACCTGTATATTTATTTCTATATCTAAATATATTTAATATATGAGTTCGCACTAATATCTCTAATTTTAATCCAACACCAAAGAGTTCATTCCAGTTTTCTCCCTTTCTACAACTCCCTTCTGTGACAGTAAGAAATCTGCTTTCATTATCTTGAACTTCTTCCTTATTTGATCAATCCTCTAGATATAACCAATCTTCTATTCTTGTTGCCACTTCCTCCCTAAGAAGTCTTCTCTCCCTGAATAGGCTCTGACCCCCCAATACAGGCCCCCACTGTTATCGATGGCCTCTTCATTCTTCTTGGGCATTCTTGCACAAGTCCAGTCAACCCCCAGACACATCGTTCTCACCTTGCTCAGCTCTGACACCCTGCGCTAGTAAGAAAGCACTCCTTGCTGTCTCTGGACTCTGATTCTGACGATAGCCCCTAACCTCCTCTTGGAGTGCATCCTTACCCCACTGAGGCTCTAACATCCTCATGTGTACAAGTCCTCCTCTCCCTGCCTGGGCTCTGCCTCTTCACATTGGGCTGCCCCACCATGTGCACAGCCTCCTTATCCTGCCAGCCTCTGAAACCCACAGCAGTAAGGGAAAGGAAGAGCTAATTCTTAAAATTTTTTCTAGCGAATTCTACTGGACCTAACAAGCACTTGCATGTGAACAGGTGTGCATGCACACACCCTCCTCCCAATAGTAATCATTGATTGTCAGAGGCTTAGTTATCTAAGCTAATAAGGAGAAAGCAATACATGTTCCTAAAGGCATCTCTCTTTCCATGGAGTAAGTCACATTCTAACTGGATTACATTATATCGCAAGCAATCCCAAAATTTGAGTGTCTCACAACAAACATTTATTTTTTCCTTCACATGACATGTGGGCTTAGAGTCCACTTCAGGTTTACTGTAACTCTGCTTGGCACTTCACCAAGTATTTTCTGATTCTGGAACCTAGGATCACAGAGTAGCTTCTTGTAAACTAAAACATATAGTAACATTCAAATCCTCTATTCAGATAATGTGTACATTATTTCCACTCTGACTCCATTGGCCTGTGCAAGTCACATGAACAAACCTGTGAATGGGGCAGGGAAATACACTCTACCTGCAGAAAGTCATGTCAAGGGCAGCAAAATTTCTCACAGAAAGAAACACTTGAGAACAACAATACAATCTACCCCAATCCCTTTGTCATTTGGTTTGCCATAACAGGTTGGCTTAAACAACAAACATTTATTTTACACATTTCTATTGATTGGGAAGTCCAAGATCAAGGTGCCAAAAGATGCAATATCTGTTGACACTCGTACCCCTTCCTAAATCAGAGATTGCCATCTTCTCGCTGCTTCCTCATATGGAGTCTTTTATAAGGACATTCATGAAAGCTCCCATTCACGAAAGCTCCATCCTCATGACTTAATCATCTCCCAAAGTCCCTCCCCCTACTAATACTATCACATTGGGGTTAAAATTTCAACATATGAATTTAGGGGACACAAACAGCCAGTCCATAGCATTCTTTAAATTATTTAGCCAAGGGATCTCTAGAGTAGTAATCTCCAAAATGGAGCATCCAAGTGCCCCAGGTGGTATAAAAAAGGATCCTCTAGGGCACAGAAATAAAATACTAGAACTTCTATTTATATGTATTTAAAATGTTAAGGAAAATAAACTTTACTAATATCATATGGTTGAGTGTAGGTTGCATGGCATGTGTAGTAGTGGAACTATCATAAGGAAAAAGAGTGGAGGTTCCAGAACTCTAAGTTGATGTTGTACCTTTATTTGTTCATTCACTTTCTGCATGTGGCCTCAAATCTGTGCAATCACAAGTTTGGCTGGCCTTTTTACCCAGTTCCTGGAGGGTAGCCACTAAATCCTTATATTTCCTGAGTAATAGGAATGTCTTTGTTATTTGTGGTGAGCCTTAATATGTTATATTAATAAAGTCACTCATAGTGGATAGTTTATGCTAACCAGATGATTAAAGATGGGCACTGGCCAAGCCATAAAGGCCAACTATTAGAGGATCAGAGGGTTGGGGTTTTGAGCTGTAAGATATCAGTCCAGACAGGAGAGGGAAGCTGGAGATAGAGTTCAACTTTGCATAAAATTATTTAGTCAAGCTTGCCTATTGAAGGGGTTCAAAACAGGTCTCCCCAAGATGTGACATTTTGGCATGTAAATTACGTGCTTTGAGTTGAAGGACTTATGAAAAACTTTTACCTCTCTCTTTAAAAATTTCAATAAGGGCCCTTGCCCATAATAAGACATAGCTTTTTATGATTTATCTAATTATTGAACATCTTCCCTTCTTGTTCTGTGAATGACCTTCTTCCCCTATGAAGCCCCCAAATACCTTACCTCATCCTTAGCACAAAATTCCACATACCCCATTTTAACTTTCTGTCCCTGAGCCTCTGATGTATGTGGGGTTCTCATACATATGTAATTAAATTTAGTTATTTTCTCTTGTTCAACTAGTTCATGTAGATTTAATTATTAGACCGGCCAGAAGACCATGGAAGGGTAGAGAAATTTCTTCTTCCCTTCTTCTTTTTCTTCAAGATCCTTAATTTTTCATGTAATACTGGTTTGCTGGTGATGAACTCCTTTAGCTTTTTCTTATCTGGAAAGCTCTTTATATGTCCTTCAGTTCTAAATGATAGCTTTGCTGAGTAATCTTTGTTGTAGTCTTTGATTTTTTTTATCACTTTGAATATTTCTTGCCAATCCCTTCTGGCCTGCAAAGTTTCTGTTGAGATATCAGCTGACAATATTGTGGGAGCTCCCTTGTAGTTAACTAACTGCTTTTCTCTTGCTACTTTTAAGATTCTCTCTTTAACCTTTTGTATTTTAATTATGATGTATCTTGATGTGGGCCTTTTTAGGTTCATCTTGTTTGGGACTCTTTGTGTTTTTTGGACTTATATGTCTATTTCCTTCATCAGGTAAGGGAAGTTTTCTATCATTATCATTATTTTTGTTGTTGTTAATCTTCACCTGAGGATATTTTTTCCATTGATTTTTAGAGAGAGTGGAAGTGAGGGAGGTAGAGGGAAGAAAGAGAGAGAGAGAGAGAGAGAGAGAGAGAGAGAGAGAAAGAGAGAGAGAGAGAGATTGGTTGCCACCTGCACATGCCCCAACAGGTGCCAGGGATCAAGCCTGCAACCCAGGTATGTGCCCTTGACCAGGAATCAAAACAGCAACCCTTCAGTGTGGGGGCTGATTTTCTAACCAGAGCCACACTATCCAGGGAATTATTTTTCACATATGTTTCAATTCCTTGCTCTCTCTCTCTCTCTCTTCTCCTTCTAGTACCTGTGATACGAATGTTGGTATGCTTGATGTTGTCCTTATGTTTCCAGACAGGAACCGGGCCTCGAGCAGGTCTGCCTCAGACCAGCCAGTAGTGTATGGGTTCTTGACCTCTTTCAGGAAAGATTTCACTCTAAAGGCCATCTTTACACTTGCCTTCCTGGCAATGTGAGTCAATAATTCTCTTTAATTGTTATGAATCAACCTGGGTTTCTTCCACTTACAAGTGAATACTCCTTTTTAGTAGAGTTATCAACAATGAAGAGAATTGCAATAATGGTTACCACATTTGAACCTACTATGTTCTTTACACTGTGAAAAACATATTGCTTTCAGCATCATACTTAATATTCAAAATAATCCTTAAAAATATGCATTGTTATTCCCCATTTGACCAATGAGAAAATTCAGTCTGAGAAATTAACTAATTGGCCAATGTCCCACACATCTATAATAATAAAAGTGTAATATGCTAATTAGACCGGACAGCCAAACGACCTTCCTGACATTCTTCTGGATGACCTTCCAGATGAAGCTGGGGCTGCGAGGGCCAAGCCCCTTGCACGAATTTCATGCATCGGGCCTCTAGTTTCTAATAAAAATAGACTTTTAATTGTAACCCAGGCTTGCCTAATTCCAAAACCCAAATTTGTTTGTATTCCCAAAAGATTAACTTTTAAAGAGTGAGCCATCCAATCAGATATTGGGAAATAGTCTTTCAAAGATATTACAGAAAAGGGTGTTTTCTGCAAAATTGTCACTAAATTTCTTTCAAAGATTTCATTATTCCTTGAAATCTAGAAGAATTCAAGAAATCTATTATGAATCTTTATTTTTTTAAATTAGAGTTTATATAGTTGCTGGTGAGAAAGGGAAAGAGATGTGGATCTCTAGTC